TAAAGCATGTCACATGTTTACTTTTAACTTGTCCACATAGCTATATTTTATGGTGTCCATTAATATAAACAATACCTGAAATTTCACTATGAAAACAAATAGAAAACACCACAAATGCACACCACCACTCCTTACTCTTAGCTATCGAACCCTTCATGTTGACATTGTACTCCTGTTTCAATAGTTGAGCTTGTAAGCTTCTGTTAGCTAACAACTGTACAGTTATCTGCCTGCACTCACTCTACATCCATGTTTAGGTGTACAGCTAAGAACTTTGCAGACTTTTCTATTGCACTTCCTTAGTCCTACAATTTCATTAATTTTGAATGAGTTTCATTCTAACTTAGGGCTTGTCTATAAGGTAGCTGGAATGAAAATAAAATCTGCTGTAATTCACATCTTTAGTTATTTATTGCAAGTCTGGATGGAGATGCTCTTATTTCAGAAGAAGTGAATGTAACATAAATTGATTTATTATTGACTTAATTTCCAAATATTTGATATAATTTAATACCCCCCAGAGATTTACGCTGAAATAGCTAAAGATGAGAATTAGAACTGATTTTAGTTATCTTGTGGCACCTTAGAGACTAACAAATTTTGAGGTTGATGGATTTCCATTCCATACGGCTAAATGCAGTGCCTTGCATAATGACAGACTAACGAATACAGACTAACACGGCTGTTACTCTGAAACCTTTAGTTATCTTGGTTCCAGTTACCATGTAGACAAGTCCCTAGCAAAGTGTATGTGCTGCTCAAGGAACTACTTATATTAGTAAGCACTGTGCCTGATACTGTTTGCGAGGTTGGGCACCAAGGTTGAAGTTTTCAGGAAAGATCCTCAGCTGGGATAAAGATATGCTATTTTTACATTACATGAGTGTCCATTGCATTTCAGTAGTATTTCAGTTGTCTATAATAATGGTGGTGATAATATTTTCTTGATGTGGATTAGTTTGTTGTTGTTTTTTTTTTAAAGATGGGGGAAATGTGGTTGTTTTAATCCTTCCATAAGATGTCAACAGCAGAAAGGGACTTTGTTCTAACTTGTTCACCTCTCCCCATAAAAAAAAAAGAAAAACTTCAACATCCCCCTCTCCTCTTTCTACCTCCCCCCCCCCACCACCATTTTCGTGAAGGGACCTGCATGGAGAATCAGCCCAAACATGAATATGTTAGAAAATTATTATCTTTGGACAACAGGAATTTAGAATGAAAACTATTTTGCAATCTTATCCACCACAGTTGTCACCAGCATGATTGATGCAGATTTCCCTGGAACGAACACATATATATGTATTTTATATAAATAAATAAAAACTTGTTTGATTACATACATACATGCACACTCAAAAATACAATAAAGAATGTTAAGGTGCAAAATCAAGCACTCAAAAATTAGGAAATGCCAGATGTAAGGTTGCCTGTGTAGCCTTAATTCATCCCCCTTGTGCCAGTGCATTATGATAGTCTTTAATAACATGATCACATACTATTTTATCCACCAATGAATCAGGGACCCTACATAGGGCTGGCGCTAGATCAAATGGCACCCCAGGTGAGGAGCATCTTCGTCTCTCCTTCCCCCCAATTTATATTGTTGCATAGATAGTGTTCAATAGATATCTCTGGTGTCTCGTTAAATATGTCCTTTATTACACTACTTACACTCTTCCAGTCTTAAAACACAAGTACATTTTCACAATTACACAATAAAACAAGGTTCACAATGTCGCAGCTGAGCTCTCACTTCACTTTGTTCTTATATCTCACTGACTGACTGGCAACATCCCACCCCTTATATACCTAGGAGGGCACGGCTGACAACATTCTAGGAGGTTTGAGGGAAATGTAGTTCTCAGAAGGTCTGGAAGGTTCCACAAGATTCTACAAAGGCCCAGAACATTTTTGGAGGGTTGTGAAAAATGAATCCACGTATGGAATACCCGAAACATTTTACTTCAAACATTCTGTCACTAACAAAAAAAAAACAGCCCCCCGAGCTCGGTGCTCCCCGAGCCTGGCACCCTAGGTGCTCACCTGGGTTGCCTGCCCCTAAATCCGGCCCTGATCCGACAGACAAATGTCCTTGACTATATATCTCTGATTCACCTCCAGAGCAGGTCCATCCTGTGCACTGAATGAGGCAGGGGTACTGTGGAAAAAATAGTATAAGATCATATAATTAATGACTATCATAATGCATGGGCACAAGGGAGCTCAATTAAGGTTGCACAGGCAACCTTATTTATGGCATTTTCTAACTTTGCAACCTTAATGGTCTTTTAACATAGATTCTGTGTGTGTAAATTCCTAGGTATTTAAAAAAAAAGGAAACTGAAAAAAACCCAGTTATATCATATGCACAGTATTAATACCTACATCATTCCTCAGCAGGGTTGGAACCTTTAGATCCACTGCACAGACTTCTACCGCTTGAGCTAATAGAGTTCTTGATATCAGTAATAGGTTACCACCCTCTGTGTGGACCAGCACTTAGAAGGGAATAAGAGAGTTACTTTGCCAGTGGGTTTCAGGGATATTTTCTGACAGCAGAGGAATAGTGAGATTCTGGATTCATTGGTTCCAATCTAGACTTTGGTGGGAAGTATGCTGTAGTGGAACAGACGCTTCTGCCTCTTCCCCCTCTGACGCTTTTTGTGGGTATGCAAGGTTATGAGGCACCTTGTTGCCACTTGCCCTTAGTGTGAGGAACCATTGTTTGTGCCTTCTGTGGATCAGTTACCTGCCTCCATTAGCCTCTGTCAACAAAAACATGGCTTCTGAGCCTCCGCAGGCCCCTTTCTTTCTTTACAGGTTAACAATAGGCACACTCCAACCTCTGAGCATCCTCCTGGAGTGTCCAGCCCTTGTTCCACTAGACACTCACAGAATTCCCAGGTCTGATACTCCTAAGGGAATAGTATACACCACCTTACCATTTTCACCTCAGGATCACCACTCCACTTTACAAACAACGCTTAGATGTGTCTATAGTTTAAAAAGAAAAATAAGTTTATTTAACAAAGAATGGAGATTCAAGTAATAGCAAATAGATGAAAATATTGGAAATTAAGAGTTGCATATAAAATAAAGTAATACAATGCATTCTAGAACCTAGTATTGCTCACGAGTGTTTTTCATCCAAGTAGGCTGTGATCCCTTTTTCATGAAAAATCTTGCTCTCCGCTTTCTCCCTCAGTAAAGGATGTAGAGTGTAGCGCTGAATGTACAGTTAAAGTCCAAAAATCCATTGTAAACAGGATCCCCTCCCGCTGGTTTATTTCTTTCTGTAAAATTCCCCATCTGGAAGATTTCACAGTCCCTTCATTTGCATTTAGTTTAGATTGTAAATTGGCATCTATTGTGGACCCTACAATACTCTAGTTACATGTAGCCAGACAGATAAACATCCCTTACCTGAAGGAAATCTGTTTCTCACCTTTTGGTGACCAGTTACAAGTTGAAATTGAAAATTAACTTAACTTACATGTTTCTGAACTTCTTACATATTTTCTGTACTTACATTCCACAATGATTGTGAGGACCAATGTGACACAGGCTTTCAGCAGAGACCTTACACTCTTAAGCAAACTAGTATGTAGAGGCCAGAGGCAAGGGATCACTGTAATGCTTAGGCACCAAGAGGTCCCTAGGTCACAACCCAATCTTGACCCCTTGTGTCCTTTACCCTCCGACCTGTCCCAATCCTCTTTCTTCCCCTTTCCCTCACAGGTCATCATCCCAGTCTCATTCTCCTCACCTATCCAGTTCCAGGCTTCTACTCCCTGTCCATCTTCCATCAGGCTCCTCATCCAATCTGTCTTTCCCCTGCCGCATGTTTCGCTCCCTGCCCATAGTCCCAGTCTCCATGCCCAGTTCGTCCCAATCTTCCTTCACCCCAACTCCCAGTCAGTTTCCCTCTTCTGCCCCTACCAGCATCTGGTTCCAGTCACCTGCCCTTATCCTACAGGCTCCTTGTGCTTATCTACTCCCCCCAGATCCTCTCAGCTTTGTCTTTTGTCCCAGTTGCACTTGAATCAGGCAGCAACCTCCTGTTGCCCAAGCTTCAGTAATAGGACCACTGAGAAAACCGAAGACATAGGCTCCCTGTTTTCACTTTTGGTGCCTGGATCCAGGTCCAGAGATGCAGCTGCAGGGAAATCCCTGTTCAGTCTTGACTAGAACATGCTCATTGCAAGTGGAATCTTTAGGGAATTTAGCAGCAAAACTATAGCCTGTCTCTACTGAGCATGTAAGAACTACAATTTTCCAAGGCTTATAAATTGGCCAGATTTGAACAGATTTTCTCATGGATGGCAAAAGCTACACTGCTAACTCAAAGGCCACTAATTTTCAAGTCCCTACCCTAAATCATGGGGCACTACTGTTTTTCAAGAAAAGGTAACCATTTTTTTAAAACATGGGTGAAACAATTTATTTCCCCCAACATTGTTTTCAGAAATGGCTGAAACTGTTTTGGCTGAAATTCCCCTCCTCCTCCTCCTCTCCCCCAAATCATCTTGTGGCAGACCCCTGACATGGAACATTTCAGCCTAAATGATTACTGTTTGGCAAAGGTATAGCAACTGAAAACAGGGTCTTTTAATGGGAAGTATCAGGCAACTTTATTAGTAGGCAGTGCTACCACCCTGCCTATAAATGTAGAACACAACATTAACTACAGAATTACAAGTGGCACTTTGAAAGTGTGTGTGTGTGTGTTTGCATACACACACACAGGGAATTTATTGCTATATAATAATTCAGTATTAAGGCTTCAATTCAGCAAGGTACTTAAAGAACAACAAGGGAACTCTTCATGTGTTTGAAGTTATGCATATGTTTAAGTACTTTGCTGAATCAGGGCCAGCATTTTCATCTTTCTCTTATACCTGTTATCATTACATAAAATTAATACGATGCTAAAGTAAATTTAGTATTGGTGTATGGTGATATGCTTGAATAGTGTTTTTGGTTTATAACCTGTCCAGCTCCCTTTTGTGCTCCTAATCTGAAATGTAAGTACTAATATATAATAGTATGTTTAGACTTTGTGCATTTTCTAATATTTCTCTGCCAGATTATAAATCTGAAGAATTAATCTTCATTAATGTTATAGTGGAAAAAAATGCTGGGAAACAAAGGTGTAAACTCATTTTGTTGCAGAAAAATCACTCTTTGATTGCCCTTATTAAACTAATGGGTAACTTAAAGCCTTGGTAATGGGATAACCATTGTTATATTACTCATAACTTTAACAAATGTTAGCATTTATAGAGAAATGCATCCAGTTCAGTTAAATGAATGTTAATTCATTTGTGAATCAATTTTATTTGTTCATGAAAGAGATTTATACACTAAACTGATTTCTCTTCCTGGTATTTATAGAAAACATTTTATTTGAGTCCCTCCACATTTACAAACATCCACCTCCAGTAATTTATCTTGCGCTTCTACCCCTACTGCTCCTTTGTCAGCTGTTGCAGGGCATTCTGATTCCCTCCAACCACAAATGTGTATCATCTGTAATTAGCTCAGTTTTCTCTAGCCTTCAAACCAAAGCCTTGGAGTGTGGCCTGAACTCGTGTTGCCTGTTCTTTATACCTCACAGAGAACTAATTAATTTGCTTACCCCCTGCAAAAAAAGCCATTGGTTTCTAGATAAACCTAGCCAAGAATATTGTTTGAACTACAGCAATATATAACTTGAACACTTTTCTACCTAGCTACCCTGGGAGTTTAGTGTTTACTGTGAAAATGCATAAACTCAATTGTAGGGAAGTTTGAAATTGAATTTGCCTCAGAACATTGAAAAAAGAATGATTACACTTAAATTTTAAAGGTTGTATTGAGCTTCTTTTCTGATAAATAATGTTCCATTCAAAGTATGCTAGTCAAGGATTTAAGTCCATTGATTTTTCCATAGTGTATGTGTGTATTAATTACTCATAGCATTGAACCATCACTTACCTGGTTTACAATATTTCGAATGTCTCACCAATTATTGTCAGTGCTGATAGAGTGATTTTCTTGTATTTTCCCAGGTCTCAGGGTGGAGAATTTTTGATTGAATTCAGAACCTGCAAGCTCAGGGTAAGAAGTGATTTTTGTTATTTCTTAAGCTTCAAATTGTTTATTAATGTAAGAAATCACATTTCAGGATGGGGCTGCGGTACTCAGAGAATGAGAAGAAACAAGTCTGTGCTAAATTTATTGTTAAAGTCACCTGGTCTTTTTGGCAGATTGTTGGTATACAGGTCTGTTGCCTCACTGTTCAAACTGGCAATAAAATGGTTAATTTTTCTCTCTGGAATAGTTTGAAGAAGAATATATTTTGTAGTGAGGCTTTTACTCCTTTGAGGCTATATTCATGTAACCTGGGCACATTCCATTATGGGACTAATATTAATATAGTCATCAAATATTGGAGCCAATGTGATTTCAAAGTGGATTAGATAAAAATGATTCAGAAGATTTATAAAACTGACAGAAATCCTGCAGATGTAAATGGCAATTTTATACATTAAAATCTTTGTGGCAAAGCTTCTTTGATGAGAATGAATAGCAGCAACCAGCAATAGAAAGTAAAACTTGTTTTATTACCTGTCAAGCTTTATCAAAATGGGTTCCCTCAACAAATGTTTAATGTCACAGCTTCAGGGGACTGAGTCCAAGACAGGTACCTATTACAATGAAAATAAAAATTACTGGAAACTTGCGGTGACTACAATTTGAGCTTTTTTTCTGTCTTGGGTAATACTCTGTATTTCTTGAGAAAACTACAATACTAAACACATTTGGACCAAGTATATAGATGTTTACCATGTAGTCGGTATCATTTAAGAGCCTGTGAAGTAAAAGTTGTTAAGAGCTAAAAGCTTAGCATTACCACGAAAATATTCTCTCATGTTTTAAGGCTGTTTCATAGTATTAAATATAATAAAGTCAAATGTTTGTTTATAACGAGACAATATGGTTAGCATTCAATTGGGAGCAAACTCATGAGGTAACCTCATTTGTATAACACAAAATAGCTGTCATAACCTGCATATTTGGGCAAAAGATAAAACTCCCTGAAGAGTGGAAACCTGAGAACAGACCTGTCAATTCTGTTTTGTGATTCTGTTGCTTCTGTGAAGGCAGCAGTTTAAAATGCAGCCCAGCAAACGTAGTGATATATTTAATTTTTACCACTTCTCTGTAATGAGCCCTAAGTTATATTTGTGTTTCAGAAGCTTTATCTGTGAAAACCTGAACTAAAATTTATGTTTCTGTACTATAGACATACAAGGCATCTAAGAATTAATATTTACTTTGTGGGCTAAGATGGATGGATATAATAAAAACAAACCCTGCATCCTTTATTGTCCATGAAAGTTCTCTTTCTCCATCAACAGTGGAGTAGAAACTATTATTTCTAGATTACTGCATTGCATAACAATAGTTGAACCACGTCTTCACTGCTGATCTGAAGGTGATTTATAGGTGTACAGTATAACTGCTTAACTGGTACTTTTATAGTAATCTGAATAAACGGTTTGTACTTGTGTTTGTGCTCAGATTTATTCATTGAATTGCTAGATTTTGGGGATTTAGAAGGTAATAGTTCGGTGCTTTGTAGAATTATTTTAGAATTAGGGTTTGCAGGTCTTGGGTTGGTAGCAAATTTTAAGCATATTAACTTTAGCATAACAGTCTCTTTTATGTCTCTTAAGGACTGGTAATAAGTGATTCAGACACACCTGAGGACATTTAATGCACAGCCAGTTCTTAATGAACGTACAGTGAAGTGATTTGTAGGGCCTTCACACTATTATGAGGCCACTGTTTCATTACATGTAAATATTGTACATAGTGGTGGGGTGCTCTCTTCCCCTGGGCAGCTGCTGTACACTAGTAATCCTTTATCTATTAGGGAAGGAACATGGAAAACTAATGATGATCCATTTTGAGGTTCCAATGTTCCAACGGGTTTATTGTGATGAATGTTCCATGTCTATTTAACAAATGTATTTTATTTCACCAATATGAATAGAGCCACATATTTGGGCATGAGTATTGTGAATAAGAAAAAATGAATATACAAACTAACTGCTAAATAGCACCAAATCATTTAAAAGTACAATTTCACAAAAATAAGAAACAAATACTTACCCATAGTTCCAAGAGGTGAGGGAGGAATGCAGACAGTTTCTTCTGGCAATAGAGGATGTTTTGTTAAATCAGTTATTATAAATGTCTTGGAGTTATTTTTCTTAAACACATTTTAAATTTATTATAGGCAAAATAAAAGTGGGGACAGGTTAGAAGTTCTAGCCACTGTGGATTTATTAGGGGGAGAACCTCATGTACAACTACATCATCTTTCTAGGTGATTCAAGGTACAATGAAAAGATAAAGGATCTAATTCTTACTTGATGTAACGCTATTGACTTCAAATTAATTAAATGAGGGATGAATTTATCCCCAGATAAACAGAGTTATAAACTTGTCAGGACACAGTTCTGCACAATTGCAACAGGTTAATATGAAAAGAAGGTGCAAGAGTCTTAGGCTATGTCTACATTACAAGATAGGTGTATGATTCCCCTGCTTGTGTACACGTACTCATGCTAGCTCTCATGGACCAAACACAAGTACAAATAGCCCTATAGTTTCAGTAGCACGGGTCATGGCAGTGGAGGCAGAGCTAAGCTGTGCTGAGTACGTACCCTCCAGTTTCAAGTGGGTTTATAATCAACACGGCTCAGCCATGAAGCCTATACCCATTCCACCCTGCTGCCATTTATACTCATGCTAGTTTGATGAGGGCGAGTATGTGTACCTAAGCAGGGGAATCACACGCCTGGCTTGTAGCGTAGATGTAGCCTGAGTCAGAACATAGGACTGTGCAAAGATCTAGCTGAAGCGTTGAGGAACTCTCTCAAACCTGGTGGGGCAAGTTCTAATACTTCCTTTCATGAATCATAGTCTGGTATGACCTCACTTAACCTCAGTTTTTATTAAATAACCAGAAGAGTCAAATTAATTGAGCTTAATTCAGGCATGAACTTTTTCTCTGAACTTGACCCACATCTATAGGCATGCATGTCACATGCACTGTCATGGAGATCTCGGAGCTGACTAGCTCTGTGACCTGTGCTTGCAGGAAAACAACCATGCATTCTGATCACCTAAGGCTGGCATCTATGCTGGAGATCTGGCCTACCTACTCACTTCTCAGCAATGTATAGACTTGAGATCATTCTCTCCCTACATCTGGGAGCCTGGTATGCTGCTCTCGACTTACAGAATGCCTATTTCCATGTGGCAATCCATCCTGGCCACAGGATGTTCCTTAGATTTGTTGTAGGAGATGACCATTACCAATTCACCATCCTGCCCTTCAGTAAAGACCCTCTGTGCTGATGACAGGCCAGGTGCATGGTTGTCATGGCATCCTACCTCCACAAAAGAGACATCCACTGTATCCTTACCTGGATGATTGGTTCATGGTCACTCCAGATCCCAAGAACAGGCTGCTGTCCATCAAACTGTGTCTGTTCAACATCCTGGGCCTGAAACTGAACAAAGAAAAGTCAACATTATTCCCTCTATAAAGAACAGAATTCATTGGGGGCAGTCCTGGATTTGACCTTTGCCTCAGTATTTTGATCTCTTTCCATATTTCAGATTATACTGAGCCTCTGTGCATCCCTCAAGGTCCCTCAGACCACTGTGAGGAATTGCCTCAGGCTCTTAGATCATATGGCTGCATGTACATATGTGAGCGACGCACACCAGACTGAAACTCAGAGCATTACAGGCATGCTCAAGTTGGTCTATTGTCCTCAGATTTACCATCTAGACAAGTTGCTATGCACCCCAGACAGGATGTTGTCATCTCTAACCTGGTGGATGACCCAAGACCATAAGTGCAGAGGACTTCCCTTCTCTCTTCCTCTTCTATCCATCAGGGACCTAGCTCCTTTTTGGGATCTGAATTTAGTGTTGTCGGCTCTGAGGGATCTTCCTTTCAAGTCTTTAGCATTGTGCTTGCTCCCACACAGGTCAGTGAATATAGCTTCCTGCATGGCTATTGCCTCCACTAGGAGAGTGAGAGAACTGAATGCCTTGGTCACTTATCCACCATACAAACTTTTCTACAAGAAGAAAGTTCATTCCATTCACTAAGTTTTTCTCAAAAGTGGTATCTGATTTCCACCTGAATCAGTCTATATAGCTGCCAGTTTTCTTCCCAAAGCTGCATAATCACAAAGATGAACTCTACAACCCCCCTCCCACAACTTTTATTGAGCTCTGTTTTTTTACCTGGATAAGACAAAGACCTTTCAAATTTCTTCCCAGCTGTTTCTTACACAGAGTGCATGAGAGGTCATCCAATCACAACTCCAAGACTCTAGAAATTCAACACCAGCTGCATCTCACTGTGTTATGCTGCCAAAGAGGTAACACATCCTAACAAACTCACAGCATGGTCAACCAGAGCACATTCAGCCTCAGCAGCCCTTGTGGCACACATCCCAGTTATGGACATCTGTCGGGTGATGACATGATCTTCCATTCATATCCTTATCAGACATTGTGTTCTCTGCTACCTCAAGGGAAGATGCAAATATAGAGAAAGTGACCCTACATTCCTTCTTCTAATGAGACTCCAAGTCTCACCACGTGGTATAACAGAGTAATGGATATATGCAAGTACTCAAAGAAGGAAAAATGGTTACTCACCTTCTTGTAACTATTATTCTTTGAGATATGTTGGTTGAGTCCATTACCAAATCCTTCCCTGATGCATCAGAGTTCACCATCAGCTTTTGGCGTGAAGGCGGGGCAGGGCAGCTTCACCTGTGTATCCTCCCTTTGAAGCATTAGGCTCTTGGGGGTGGACAGGGTTGCCTCATGGGTATGGGTACCACTAGAGAAAACTCTCCACAACCAGTGCACAGGATGCACACTTGTCTACAGTATAATGAACATATGCAACACATCTCGGAGAACAGCACTTATGAGAAGGTGAATCATCTTTAAAAAAAAAACACTCTGGCAAGGATCAGAAGTTTACTATTTGGGATCAACAGAGCAATTAGTTTCCTAATCTTTCCCAGACCCTAAGTAATCTATTTACCCTGTTGATTCAGGGTGTTAATCAATAGTCTTTTGTCTTCACTGAGCTTGACTGTTTCTTTGACCTCCCTGGCATCAACCAGTCATCCTATTTTCCTTACTAGGGCAAACTAATTACCCTGATGACGTGTTGAGAGGGGGACCAGGGACAGGAGGACTTCTATCCCTCCATACTATAAGAGATGGCTGGGTTTTTATTCCCAGTTCCTCTCCCAGGAAACCGTTCTCTGAGTATACAATTCAATTGACTCTAGGATAAGTCACAGGAGGCTTTGTTACTATGGTCTGGGTGATGCAGGACAAGAGGCCAGAGAAACTGTCAAGACAGAGTGGAGGATTCAGCCCAGCCACAACTACTGTATGATGTGTTTAAACTGTGCAGTGACATAAATATTTTTTCCCTAATACTGGAGAGACTGTCTGTGTATCTTGCTCAAATAACTTGTGCTTTTTCATGATTTTAATGCTCTGAATTCTCTGCGTAAAAGGGACATGAGATGACTGTAATAGGTTATTCTCTGGATTATACAATAGGTTGATGAGGAAAGGTTTCAGAACCTTAATTTTATGTAGTTTAAGAAGAAAAAGATGTTCAAAGGGAACAAATGTAATTGAATTATGAAAATCTTAAATGGAGGTAAATAATGTCAGATTAGTTCATTTGAGCACAGCACAGATGATAGGTTTGTGGTGCATTCAAAGAAATTTCAAGAAAATCAAATTTAAAATTGGCATAAAGAAGCACTTTGTAAACTAAATGAGAAATAAATGGTGGGACAGTCTAATAGGCACCATTGTTGAAACAAAGGCAGTTATGTAATAAAATATTACCCTAGGGAAACAGTATATTAAAAGTAAAGAAATGTGATATAAACTACATAGTCTTATCTTTATAATTTGACAAACTGTTATGCATTAACCATGCCTACGATGATTAGTTTTACGATTTGAGGGCAAGGGAATAATAGACTGAAAGGAACTCTCCAATTTGTATCATTAGTGTTTGTGGGATAACTTAAAATTGAATATATATGCACATATTAAATAATTGGAATATCACTTATTTAATTCTTATTTTGAAGATGGAAAATGTTATGTATCTGCTAAGCATCATTTAAGCAATAAGACATGATGGCATATGAGTTCTACTGGGATATGGGTACACGTTAATTGAATTCTTCGAGAGGGGAGCTACTTACTGTAGAGAAACTTTCCACCGGTTTCCTCTACTGATTCTCTTATGGAATATTTAGGTGTACCTGGTCTCAGCTCTTCCATCTTCTGTTTACACAAAGTATGACCATTGCTTCCCCACCCCATTAGCTCCACTCCCTGCTGGAAAGTGTTTCTTGCAGAGGGTTGGGAGCTTCCTATCAGTAATTGGATAGCACCAGAGCATGAAACACATCTTTTTACCTGGTGGTGGTGCTGCATGCTGAATCATTCTAAAATCTCTTGCACATTTCCTCTTGTATCATTTTCCAGAGCTGTGGTGCAAAGGATTGTGGACCAACCCTCAGACTTATTCACCTTTTCTGTCTCTCTGTTCTTCAAAGGGAGGGTTGATGGCAGCCTTATTCCCATCAAGGTGGTCTGCGGTAGGAGTTGTGTGACACAGCAGGTCTGAGACCCTTCCCCTTTACCTCCCACAAAAGACTAAAGATGGGGGAGTCAGAACTGGCGGATTTGTAGACCAGCAGCTGACTCCTCCTCAAAGACTTTGGAGATCTAAAAGGAGAGACTGAAGGGATGGGGTTTTCGAAGGGATGGGGTTTTCAGTGAAATGAGACCAAACTCAGAAAATATTTTGTTAGCCTTTTGGGGTTTAATTTTAGGTTTCTAATGAAAATCCTAATTCTAGATTATGCCTGACTCCTCTTTCATTAGAAAAGTTGCACAAAGTTGCTTGTGAAGTTAGGTATGTCCTCTGGCTCTTTAAATAGAGAGGTGGGAAATCACTAAGAGGAGCTGTTTGTATTAAATCTGCACCTGCATTGAGTATTTTCTGAAATTCTCTCATTGCTGGCTTTGAACCGATGCTAACAATTATGGAAATGCTAGTGGAACAGAGTGCAGGAGTGAGTTAGATGATACAGCAGGGAAACCATCTGCACCCAACTTGCACTAGTGCTTACACCATTGCTAGCATAGGTGGAGGTGTATTGGTGCTAGGTCAACAATGGGAAAGTTTTGGAGAACATTCATTGTAGGCAAGGCCCTAGTCCTATAGAAGTGGTTGCTTCTGCTTTCCAAGCTGTTTTGATTTCTTTGAAGCTACTTTGAGCATTGCTTCAGTTATTGGAAAGAAAGGATATGTCTGAGTAGGTTCATTCTTGCACCAATGCAAAGCAAATAAGTGGAACTATGGGGTCACTTCTGGGGTCCCATCAATTACCAGCAATTCACCAGTCTCATCGCCTAGTTCCTCTGCTAGAGGTCGCAGACACCTCCCAACAGCAGCACTGAGGCTATTGAGGAAAAGGTGCTGCACACTTAGGGCCCTAGTGGTAGCTTAGGGCCTTGCAAATGGCTAGGCTAGCCCTGGTTTGCTGGATGATTTCCCAGCATAGTTAGTGATGTTATTTAGAAGGAAGAAATCCATCAAAAGCAGTACTCTAAATGGGGAAAAGTAACCAGCACCTTCCCACTATGAGTGAAACTGTTCTGAGTCAATAAAGCCGTGGGCAGCAACTTTTCTTTGTCCAAACAGCTCTTTTGCTGCTTTCAAAATGTTGCCTGTGCCTCTGTGTGGTGCTGCACTCCTGGTAAGGACTGAGGCTCCTCCTTTGTTTTTTATTAGAAAGCATTCTGAACCAGCTCCTCGCATCTCACATGAAAGTTAATAGCTCTTTTAGATTTCCCAAATACTGAACAAAATTGTAACAAGAGATGGAATTGGGGAACTTGGATGCTGGATACTAGTGGGAAAAATGTGGTGGAGAAGTGGACACCTGTTAGTGGCTGTCTAAAGGAAAGCATATAGTTGTGGTACTCACTAACACTTAAGAGGAGGCACAGTTTCAGTCTTGGAAAGCATGAATTGGCAAATCATAGAGATACCCGAGTGTATCATACTGGGATGTCTGATATTTAGTCAGCTGTAATATTGAATTAAAGCTTGGGGGAGGATTATTTTCATCTATATTTTTCTCCTTTTAAAAATGTATAAAATAATAAAAAGTAAGGTTTGAAATATACAGCTAGGACAAAGAAGAACAGGAGTACTCGTGGCACCTTAGAGACTAACAGCTAGGACAGTATATAACAAAAATTCCACCTTACCTCACCCCTGTGGGTTCAGTATTATAGCTGAAGAGATATCTGATGATATTGGTATGATGATATTGATGATATTGGATGTTTGGAAACATTTGTACCTATATGAAATATATATTTAAATTATGACAAAACTATACAAATAAACTTGATTGATCTTTATGGATTCTCACTATGTTTATGTTTTCAGCCCGTACAAGAAAAAATATATATGCACATACACGTCTAGATATTTATATCTTTCCAATGAACCAACTCATATTTCCTTAAAAGCACCATGAAAGTGCTTAGCCAGTTGTTCTTTTAATGTACATTTCAAGCATGATATGTAAAATATTACAGAAAAAGCTTAGAAAGCAAAATATCTTTTCTTGCTAGTACATTCACCAGTGCATGAACTACTATGTGACTACAAATTTTTCGGGTCACACCACAATGTAAGAAAAGGTTGTATGTAAATTAAACTTGAAATCAAATAGCTGGGGGGAGCATTTTTTTCTCTTATGGTGCCTGCATATTGAAGAAAAAAGTATTTACTTTTATTAAAAATCATGCAGCATGTTGTTTCAGTCTACAGGATATTTACCTCTGACAGATTAAAATGTATCATATAAAAAACATTCTGTCCTTTTACATTAAAGTATCAAACAAAGCTCTATGTTTTTTCCAAGATAAATTTATGATTAAAGAGTAACATGAATGGAAAATTAACTGCATCATTTAGTATGTCTGTGAAACAGAAAAATACTTGTATACTGAGGGTAATGATTTCTGTTGACCGTGTATATCCTACTGTATGTTCAGATTTAGTTAGATTAAGGCCCTATGATGAATTAAATAGACTAATCAGAATAAAATCAGTTTGCTTGTCAATTATTTCCCACAGTTGCTACACCATGGTTAACAATGCCAGTATCTCGACTACACCACCTGTTGTCTAGTCTTGCTCTGAAAAGAATGATGCAGGACAGTTAAAACCAGCAGCAGCCCTGGGGGCAATGTTTGCACTAGTACTCCCGTTATCATTACCATGTGGTTACAA